GAGGTCAGACCGTCTTCTTCATGTACCTGGCCTGGGTGAGGGCCTGGTTCTGTCTTCTGACCTTAACACTCACCTCCTCTTAGACCTGAGAGGAGGGTGAAGCGCGGGGCTGCAGGGAAACACAGCTATAGGTATTAATAATGACACTGCTCTTTGGGGTGAGTTCCAGAAGGCAAAGGAACTGGACCATGTGCCCTGGGGGATGGTACCCTTGTCTGTGAGGGTGATGAGCGCTTGCCATCTGGCTCCTCTGTTTCCCCCAGTCTGCCTACAAACCCCTGGGTAATGGCGTAGTTTACAGATTTGGGGGTGAATCTGATTTGAATACAACTTGCTCCAGCGTGCTCTGTGGGTTCAGCTGGCTCAGTTGTGCTGAGAGGTGGCCACTGCTAGGGCTCTCTCACTCCTGGCTTTCTTTCCATGCTTAGTCAGAACTCTGCTTTTCCTGTCCAGGGACATTCACTTCTGGGATACCTTCTCTTCTAGATTGAATTGTATCCCCCCCAAAAATGTGTTGTCAATCCTAACCACTATACCTGTGAATGGAATCTCACTATAGAATCACATTTTCTTTGTTATGTTAATGAGGACATTTCAGTGTTGGTGAGTGCCCTGAGTTGGTGAGTGCCCTGAGTAGGTCCGGGTTCACAGTGACCTTGTATAGGGATTCTGGTGGGTTTGAACCGTCAACCTTGCAACTAGAGTTCAGTGCTCATCCTACACCAGGACCAGTCAGCCAGCAGCCTGAATTCTGACTTCCAGCTCCTTAAACTGGGAGGGACTTGTGACATTTCTACGGTAGCAGTAATAAGCTAAGATACCTTCCCACCAGGTTTAGTGGTTTCCACTGAGGACAAGTCCAACCCCTGGCTTAGCAGTGAACGTCTCACTTTTACTTTGTGCCCTCACTATCTCTCGCCAAGCCCACACTACTTGGTCCAATTCCCACCTCTACTGGGCAATGCTCCCTGACTGCTCCAGCCTAAGTCCCTCATGCCTCGTGGGTAGCTGGGAGCTCCTTGCTCAGCTTGGCCTTGCCTCTCTCATCTTAGTCCCTGTTCCTCCCCACTCTGCCACCATGAGAAAGAGTCCCTAGGATGATAATTGCCTATGATACCATCCCATTTCCTCCTGAGCTGGCTGCTGAGAGACCAAGAGAACATCCCAGAAGTCCAAGGAACGTAGAAAGTTCAGGTACCTGTGGCTGACAAAGAGGAAGCTATACCACTTACAAACTGTCATCTTAAACAAGTTACCTAATCTCTCTGTGCCTTGATTTGTGCATTTAAGTGGGGCAAGTAAAGGATAAGTACTGGACCCAAAGGTCAGCAGTTCAAACCCACCAGTCACTCCTTTGAAACCCTATACAGGGTCAGAATGTCACTTAACAACAGTAACAGCAAGTATACCTCAGGTGGCTGCATGTATGAAACATATCTGTATAAAGTGCCCAATCCTCAGTAAATAACTCGGTAAATAACAGCTTTCTTGGACATTAGATATGTCTAACCCTACACCAAAAATGAATCATCGCTCTCTGTGCAGCGTGGGAACATTTAGTGCATCCAGAGAGCACACATGTCCCATGTCCTCAGGGTCTTTGGGATCCTGTCTGTCCTGGGAACAGAGCTTCTGGAACTGGAATACAGAGAAGGGCTCACTGCTAAGCCAGGGGTGGGGGCACTTCCTTTCCCAGCTTCTCCGTTCTCTTTCTCACTGTGCCCCCAACTCATCCACCAGTCTTCCCTCAGCCCCCCTCCCCCCCAGGTCTCCCCTTGTCTTTTTCTATAGCCCCTCCCCATATCCTCCCGCCCACTCCCATCTCTCCCTCCTGGCTCCTCCTTCAGGTTCCCATTCCTTTAATTTTTCTCAATGTTCACCTCACCTCCCTATCCATTTCCCCCTAGAAGAAGAATTTAATGGATATTAAATTATTTTAAACCGACTTTCTTTTTTTTAATGGCTTGGTGATAGTGCTGACTCAGTATCTTCTCATGGTTTAATATTGAATATGCAATTAATAGATAGATGTTTAGGTTTGGCTCCTTCCTCCCATCCCCCCTCTACTGCAGGGAAAATAAAAGAGCTGATTAATCCGGTTTAGGGCAAGTGTCAGCGGTAGGAGATATATGGGAGAAAGGAGATGAGGTTAGCAACTTGAAGTCAGAGAACTGTAGCCTGGGAGGCAGAGTAAGAGGGAAGGGGTTTGAGTTAAAGCTCAGCAAAGCCTAGCTGGGCACAAGTGGTTTCTGACACATCACTCTGGCTTAAAAAAAAAACAGCTGAAATTTGACCTGTCCAATCCCATCACAGGGCATCTGTCTGGCTCCCCTCAGTGGGGCCCCATTACTGCTTCTTTTTCAGGTATGGACTCTCCCTTTCCTTCAAAGCTAACTCAAATGTCAGCCTTGTCCAAGGCCTCAGCCTGCCCCAGCCTCTCCAGGACCAAGGGTGACACCTCCTATCCTTGAAACTTACCCCCAGCCAGAGCTACAAGACTCCGGACCCTGCCTTCTAGAGTTGTTTCCTTGAGAAGGCCCTCATTCCTCATGTGCATCTCCTCCAAGCTCTGGAGCCCATGAGGGGAGACTTGAGTGAGGCTGTGTGAGGACAGTGTCCTGTCACTGCCAGGATGCGGGTATCAGAGGCGCTTCAGGTGCTCAGAGGATGCAGTGCTATCGATCGCTTTTATATGGCCTTTCTCACCCTGGTCTTATAAAGCCCACAAAATGACTCCGTGGAAATATACCAACAAGGTGCTAGTGGCCCACTAAGGGGATTTGACAGCTTGTTAATAATGCAAATAAAGTTCATGGAACCCTAGTGAAGGGACCATGGAAATAAGGTGTTGTTGTCATTGTTAAGTGCAGTGGAGTTCTGACCCATAGCCACCCTGTATAGGGTTTCCGAGTAGCAGCTGGTGAGCTTGAACCACCGACCTTGTGGTGTAAACCAACTTTGCAGTCCAGCGCACTAACCCACAGCGCCACGCCAGCACTGCAGGACTGTTCAGTTTCGCTAACCTGCAAGGTTTAAAATGAGACCACCTAGAGGCCGAAAGGGGGAACCTCACTACCACTAAGAAAGACAAGAAAGATCAGGAGAGCCGTGTACCCTTTGGACTCATGATCCCTGTGCTGAGACCCTCTCATAGACCCAGGAGATGGGAAGAGCGAGCTGTGACACCAGAGATGACAAGAGATGGTGAGAAGCAGTGTCTGAGAAACAGTGGCATCCGAGGTCGCAGAAGTAGGAAGCTGGCAGGTGATGGTGCTTCCATGCCCACAGAGCTAGAGAGCTGAGACCCTTGGGGAAGGAGGGTTCCTGGCAGAGTGGGATGCCTCTGGGTACTAGGTTTGCCAACCCAAAGAGCAAGAGAGCTGAGTATTCAGGCTGAAGCTTACGGGTGGAGTGTAGTAGCCCAGGGAACTTATTGTTAAAGCTAAAGAGCTTTGTACCATTTGCCCGAGCAGGTCAGGGAACAGGCCAGGCCAAGAGGTTGAGGGGAAGGCCTGCCTTTGGGCCTGGCTGAGAGGCTGTCCTGATGGAAGAACTGTCTCCTGAGTGGTTTCAGACCCTGAGGAACCTGTTGCTTCCCTAAGAAGCCCATAGTTGGGAGTGTGGTTTGTGAGTTCTGCATGGCCATCACAACAAACTACTGAACCCAACAGAGAGGAAGAGAGGGTTATGGGAGCATGGGCCGATCACCCAAAAAGCAAGGTAAACAGGGACTTACTGGTGCTTATATTGACTAATATATAGCAAACAGTTTTTCACCACATCGTGTGGGGAAAACCATGTGAACTTGTGAAACCCCATGAAAGGTTCACAATCTTTTCTGACAATTTCTCTCTCCCACTGTCGGGGACAGCAGGAGGTAGGCATCCCCTTTCCCCCTCTCCCCTTTGGTGGGCCCTTCTCAGGACCTGGTTGAGGCCTCGGTAGTGGGATGGGTCCCATACTGGTAAAGAGGACAGAGCCTCTTGGGGGCCTCTGGACTACCTGCCCAGGAAAGAGCCCAAGAGTATAATTCAGGGCTTGTGCCAGCAGGACCCCATAGAGATGAGGTCCTGTGGGGTGGGTTTGTGGAGCTGATGATCAGAGTCAGAAGAGCCAGAAGCCCTTTCTACGAAGGTGAGGGCCATCCCCTGGCAGGAAGGACACTAATGTCTCTTCTCCATCCTCCAGGTCAGCTGTCCAGGCCAGGGACCTGCGAATGGTCCTCATCCTTTGGGGATGATGTGTCTCTCTCCCACAGGTGAGGTGGAACAGGGTTGTGTATCATGGAGGACCCAGCATCTTGGCGATGGAAGCTTGACTTTTTATGCTGAAGGAGTTTCCTGTGCCTTCGCTTCTCCCTTAGTTTTCTTGTTCTAGTGGTGTGACCAGGTCCTTCCTAGAGGGGACTGGGTATGATAGTAACCCCAACAGTAACCCCTGGTTTCTCTGGAGAGGTTCAGCCATCTCAAACTCAGCTTTGGTAGGTTCCACGTTCTGGGGTCATCATTTGTGGGGTGAGGCCGGGTCTTCCTCCCCTGACTCTTTCTAAACACCTCCCAGCGTGCCTGTATCTACCATCACAGCCTGCCTCAGGACCAGCTTCATAGGCCTTCTAACTCCCTATCAAGTGTCCCTCCCAGAATTGCACTGTGTTGGCCTGACCCTCCCAGGGCAGCAACTCAAGCTTCCGATATTCTGGCCCAGCAGATTCCACCTTTCACAGTTGGTGCTCCTTGGTGATGACACAGAGGTGGGACAGAGGAGGCCCCAATACATGCTGCTTATTCATTCACAGGAAGGCACAAACCTTACCACCTGGCGGCTCAATCTCCCCCATTCCTTTTGCTCTCTGCAGTCACCAGAGCTCTCAGTCCTATAGTCAACCTCCCTTCCCCATGACCCATGAGGTTCCCAGGGGGCAGCAGGAGGAGGCAGGGGGCCGCTGCAGTGGGGAGAGAGAAGGTGGGAGAGTGGAGGGGCAGAGACAAGTGGGCCCTCACGTGAAGGGGGCTGGCGTAGGCAGCTACTACCTCCTCGGCTCTCGCTGTCCGCTGGCTTCACCTGGATCGGTCGGTTCATCTGCAACAGAGCACAGGGGGCAGAGTTAGAGGAGGCCTGGGGAGGGGAGCAGGAACTCCACACAGGTGCATGTTAGCACACGATGAGCACACGAATACCACCACACCCATATACCAACGCACTTGTCACTGAAGCTCATCCACTCCCCTTGCGCACTCCCCACGGCCGTGATTTCAGGAGACCCCGCAGCACCCCACTCCACCTTTGAGCAGTTTCTGTGAGCCTGTCAGATCAGAATCCGGGACTGGCAGAAATGCATGTCCCCTGACCTTCTATTTCATGAGTCCCTCATGCTCCCTTGGCCCACCTCTGGCCTAGCCTGCTTCACCTCAGACAGCTTCTCTGGCTGCAGACTGATCCTGCTAGACCAAGGTTTGGTAGCAAGCTTCAGCTCTAAGACATGGGTTGTGGGGCCAGGGGGTGGCTGAGGCCCTGGAGCCTCTGACTGAAGCCAGAGATGTCATCTGGAACGGGGCAGAGCTGAGCACGGTCACTAGCTCTCTGTGACAAGACCTGATTCCCCAAGCTGCCATCCACCGGCCTCTTTGGGATCGTGTCAATTCCCCATTCAGGCCACTAGGGGTCTCTGAACTCCAAGCATCAGGCTCCTGAGCCTGTCTTCAACCCTCCCTGCTTTGGGGAAGCACCAGGGTGGGCTCTCCAGCCCAGAGGTCCCAAGTAAAAAACAAACTGTGAAAATAAGAATCATTCAAATGGGCTCACACTTCATCCCTTTTTCCTGTTATGCACGTGCACGTCCCTCATTCGCATCTCATTTGAATTTCTCTCAATCACAGACCCTGAGACTCAAGCATGACTTGTTCTAAAACCCCCATTTTCTAGGTGGATAAACTGAGGCAAAAAGAAGTTCAGTTGATTCCTAAGGCTAACTGGTGGTTGGAATAGTCTGAGAACCTGGGCAATTCCTGCCCTCCCAGCCGGCACCACATGATGATGCTGCCAATTCCCCTCAGTACAGGGCTGGACTCAGTCACGAAGTGTCCCCAGACCTCCTGGTTCAGGATTTGAAGCAAGTTTTGGCTACGTCAGGACAACTGGATGGGAGGGTGGTGTGGGTACCCATGACTCAGCAAGGTGAAGCACAGCAACCAAGGACAGAGGTAGGAGGCAGGACACAGCAGACAGGAAAAGGTGAGGTGGCACAGATAGGACCACTGCGAGGGTGGTCAGGAGTCAAGTCCCACTCCGCACTCCCGTTTGGAGCAGAGGGAAAGATACTCTGACTGAAAGCTCTGTCATGCATAGGCAACTGCCTTGTCACAGAGATGCCAGTTACAGGGACAAAGGAAAGGGACATAATGAAATACCTTTTCTGTCTAAGGGACCCTGGCTACCTCATAAGGAATTTTGGTCATACTGTGGGCTAAGCATTAGGCTGCTAACAGTAAGATTGGTGGTTCAAACTTACCAGCTGCTCTGTGGGAGAAAGATGAGGCTGTGTGTTCTGTGAAGCTTTACAGTCTCAGAAACCCTAAGAGCAGTTCTACTCTGTCTTAGAGTGTTGTTATGAGTTGGAATCATAACTTGATAGCAATGGGTTTTTTGGTTGCCTTTTCCACAAACTCCCTTCTTTCCAGACCTTGAGGGAAGGGTCCAGAAGTTCACCCAGGCATCAGGCCGTGGGGCTGGTTTCAGGGGATGCTGGGCTCTGTGAGGGAGCCAGGTGTCTTTGGGTATCCTAGGGCACTGCTCACCCTTTTCTAAGCTGCTCCTTTCTTCCTCCTGGAACTCTCCTGACTCTTAGTCTTCCAAAAACATCTGCAATATTCTCCTACTCTGGAAAGGCCCCAGGGACTGACTCAGACTCTACTCTGGCCATTGCATTCTCTTGGGCATATTTCTGTCTCTTTCTTGGTCATGGAATTATTACAGTTCTCTGAGGCAGGGATTACTATCTCTGATTGCCAATGAGAAAAACAAATCCTCAAGAAGTGGCAAGGCTGGGATCTAGCCAGGATGGGGCGGCACAGGGCAACCATCTGATGACAGATTTGTCTTGGTAGATTTGGACTCATTTGCACCCAGCTGCTCAGGAAGGCCTGGTGTGGAGCTATAGAATAAGCACTCCACCATAAGGTTGGTTTGAACCCCAAGGTGGTGGTTCAAACTCGCCAGCTGCTCCTCAGAGACTCTATACAGGGTTGCTATGAGTTGGGAAAACAGCTCTGGAAGGAGGAGGGATCGCCCAGGGCACATGTGAGTAGGGAACATGTCCGTTTTGACAAGGGGAGATTGGGGTCAGGCTTCTGGGGCAACCAAATCAGGTACAGTGTGTCCAATCTGGCCCCTACCACCTCTTCTACCACTTGTTCACCATGTCCCAGTAACCTTCCTTCTCTAAGTCCATGTCCTCAGCCTGCAAACTCTGACCCTAAACTCTCACCAGCCACCTCCTCTTGACTGTCTAGTCACCTTTTGAGGCAGGTCCATTAAGATTTCTTGATGCCCCATTTGGAAGGGACCTTGGGGACTTCTCCCTTGCCCATCAGGTGCCATGGAGAAGCACACTCAGGCTGGGAACTGACTTTCAAGGGGGGTACTCAGGCAGCCCACCCCCCCCAAAGAGCACACAACACTCTTCAGAACATGAGCAGCTGCCACATACAATATCTTGCTGGATTATGAGAATCTCCCCAGCAATGGATGTGAGGAGATTATTATCTCTAACTTCAATAGAGGAAAGGGAGTTTCAGAAAGGCTAAGAAATTAGCCCCAGGTCACACAGGAGATAAAGAGGGATGCCAAGATTGGAACTCTTGACATCTGCTTACATGTTCAGAGACACTGAGAACCAGGTGAGATAGGACCATGGGGTGGGACACAGAAGATGGTCCAGGGAAGCCCAAAGTGTAAGGGAGCAGGTGAGCAGGTAGGGCATCCTTCTTCCTTAATGAGGAGTAGGGAGGAGGGTCTGACTGAGAAAAAACAGGCAGAAGTGAGGAAACAGACCCAGCTAGGCTCTATCACTCAGCCCACGGGACCAACTGAGGGAATGTGTGTGAAGAGGAGGGAGAGATGAGGTAGACCCCGTAGACCCCCCCTCTTCCTTACAGATGATGCTGAGAGGAAAGGCAAGACCATGGGAGGGGGCTCCTTCTCTGGCATTGCCTGACTGCAGATGTTTCTGTGCGTCCTGCCTTCTCCTTTTTGTGAGGCGCTGAGAGAAGTTGGGTGTGCTTGGGGGATTGTGCCCTGCTCTTTCTGGTCTGATGAGTTCCATTTTCCAGGAGGGTAAATTAGAGGAAGGTAAATGAAATCACCCTGAGCACAGGCCTTTCTACTTCAGCAGGCGCCCCTCTCACAGACCGCCAGCCACCGTCCTATACCCTCAGCTCTAGGCACTTGGCAGACCTGATGCCACCCTCTGGCAGACCCCTCCCCACCATGGCAGGGGGCTTGCTCCTTACTCAGGCTTCTCTCCAACTTGACCAGGCTTCCTTCAGGGATCTAGGTTCTCACCTGGCCACCATGTGCCCTCAGCCATACTGGGCAAGGCACCCTAGGGTGCTCCAGACAGACTGGCAGAACAAAGGTGAATCATTTCCACAGACTCCTGGTTCCTGAGCCATGTCTCATGTCCCTTGTGATCTGGGGGTGGTCAGAGAGGAGCCCAGCTCCATGGAGAGATGAGCTAGAAACCGAGTGTCTGGAGGGCTGCTCAGCGGGATGGCTCTGTAGGGACTCACCCTGAATGGAGCTTGCACTTCCTCCTTTGAGGGTCTCCCTGCCAGTTTCTGGGCTCTGGGTCCTGTCCAGCCTCACCAAGGGCTTGTTCTGCCTTGAGGAGGGAGGAGTGGAAAGAGTGAACCAGTCTGTCCGGGGGAGAGGAAGCAGGGGAGAGGCAGGTCCAGGAGATGGTTTGTGAGGATGTGGGGAAGGAGACAGCAGAGAGGACCAAGGCAGAGGGAGGGAGGGTAGTGCAGCAGCAACAAGAATACAGAGACAGGGACGGAGGAGTCTGGAGAAGAGCCCAGAAGGGAAATGGAAGGAAAATGGGAAGGGGCTATTGTCACTGTGAGTCGGAGTCAACTGGATGGCGGTGGGTAAGTGCACTTCTTTTAAGGATCCCTGGTGGCACACTGAGTTAGGCATTGGGATGCTAACCACAAGGTTGGCAGTTCAAACCCACCAGCCACTCCTTAGGAGAAAGATCCGACTGTCTGTTCCTATAAAGATTTACAGTTACAGAAACCCTAATGAGCAGTTCTATATTGCTTTACAGGATTGCTATGGAGCCCTGGTGTGGTGCTGTAGGATAAGCACTGGACTGCTAGCTGCAAGGCTGTAACTCAAGCTCACCAACTTCTCCTCAGAAACCCTCTACAGGGTTGCTATGAGTGGGAATGGACTCATCGACCCTTAACTACTGACATACCATTTCATTCAGACAAGTAAGAACGAACTGGATGTTAGTGGATGAGTGGGTGGTGGTAGGTAGGCACCCTTCTTTGACTGTGCCCTCTTAGGGCCATCACCTCAAAGCCTCAAAGCCCTTTGGCTACATGGGTCCAGGTACTCCTCGTGGATGAACACTGTTCATTCAAGGAACAAGAGTCCACTTCTTGGGCCTTTTCTTTCCCCTGTCCCTTGTGCCTCTGTCCAGCCATTTCTCCCAGCCAGTTTGTTACCCTAGGGGGCACCTGCCTTGCTGATTTTCATTATGAGGTATCATTAACATCCCATCCCCATGGAGAACCCTGTGGTCTTCAGTCCTGTGTTCTGCTGCCTAACACCTGAGGGGGGACTTGTGGAGTCAGGGACAGGCTCCGGTACACATTACTAACTCTGTGGATTGTGTTTCTGCTAATTGCGGGGCCCCCTCTCAGGGGAAGCAATTGGTGCCTGACCTGGGACTTGGTGTCCTCCTGGCCCCCCACTGAAGCTGAGGACAGGCAGGAGGCTACACTCTGTCCCTAGCCCCTTCCGCTCTGGCTCTGGCTCCCCTCCCCTTCCCCACCCTGCTGCCACTTTTTGTGTCA